CAATGGGCCGTTTTAAATTTTGCAGCCGGAACTCCCATCCCAGTTATAAGCGGGCATCTTTTCAATTTGAAAAGGGGATCCCTACACCACAAAAGTGAAAAATTGCGCGATTTGGCCATCCAGCGAAATATTGCAATTATTGCCGAATGCCAGCGTGGTGCGATACCATTTTACTACTCTTCAGTCGATCTCCCTCTTCCCTTTAAATTCATGAGGGTCACCCCATACTCCGCCTTGTCATCATTTAAACGAGCGGGGAAAACCTTACCTCAAAAGGGGCAGAAAGGGCTCCCCTTTTCTATGGCAGTTTTCTCCTCCCCCTCCAAGGGGGACTCCCACGTGTTTTCTTATTCCCCGGGGTTTCAAAACTCCCCCCACTTCGGGATCCCCCTCTTTTACACCCACCTCGTGGTTACCTCTCCCATAAAACTCCCTTTTCAATCCTTTTTCTGTCCTCGGCTCAGACGTCCCTATTCAACGCCTCTCTAATCTCGCTTTTTCAGTTCTCTCTCACAACCTCAGTTCGACGAGCCCCCCGACGACACCTCCCCCAACGTCCCCTATTTTCCCAAAATCAAAAAAAGGGCCCTTAACACCTCCTAAACCCCTCCTCCACCTCCTCTTTTTAAACCCCCTGTCCGTCCCTGGTTTTTCCCCCCCTCACCTCTTACAATGTAGAGGTTTAACCCTCCTCCTCTACTTACCTTCCTCCCCTGTTTCCCCCCCAAGTTTCTTTCTTTCTGCCACCTCCCAGTTCTGCCTCTTCTGTCCCCCCACGCTTCTCCATTCCCCCCACCCTTTCGCCCCCCCCGTACCTTTGGTACAGCCCAATACAGTTCCAATCTTTACTCACCCCCCCCTACCTTTCCCCAATTTTGTCTCCCTATAACATCCCGAATTCCCAAAAAACACTTGAACAATCTCTGAATATATTGCAGAGCCCAAAACCATAAAATGGCACTGATCCACCTTCCGCTCTTTCTCTCCCCTCCCCATCTGCAAACTCCTTTTTTACAGCCCCCGTTCCTTCCTCCCGAACGTTTTCCACTGCCCCGCTGGGGAAATTTTTCTAACCCTTCTAGTCCGGGGAAACCCCTTTACCTGCGGATTTCAAGTATTTTTAAATTTGCCAACATGGCCTATTTACAGTGGAATAACGCGCCTCAGGGGTAATCGGGGGAGCTTCAATTTTACTCTCCCATTTGCCCCTGTTGGTGTTTTTTACAGAAACCAAAATTACACTCTGCTTTATTTCTCACATCTCGGGCTATAATTTTTGTTTTCTCAATTTTTTCCTGAGGGGCCTTTTAAAAAAAGGGCCCCCCTTTTCTTCCCGCACTGATACCGTACCATCCTATTTTTTCATATTGGGCTGCATTACCACGCCCGATCCATTTTACATGGGTGGTAACGCCTGTTTTTATATCCTCTCCTTCTCGGGGCTTTATCTTTTCCGGATTTTGCCTTCCTTGTTTCGTCATTACCGCCACCGATTCTGTTATTTGGTGATTTTAATGCCCACCATTTCCCCCTGGGGGGGTTCACTGTGTTCCCGGGGAATTCAGTTAGGGGCTTTTCTTCCCACCCACCCCCTCCATTTTTTAAATACAGGTACTCAACCCATTTTTCCTGGGACTCTACCCTCTTGCTATCTTCAGTCTGCTCTTCCTCCGCCATTAGATTTCATTTGGGTCTTTTTCCCAGACTTACATGACATGATCTTTTCCCCAAACATTTTTACCCCCCCTTCATTTTCGCCACCTCTTCGCACCCCACGCGAAAAATTTAATGGGGGCAATTGGAACCTTTACCACACCTAACTGTTTTTAAAGAGGTTTTTCTCGTCCCCCATCGATGATTTTTTACACCTCTTCTCGTCCCTTTTTTTCACCAAGCTTCTCATTCTAAAACCCCAAAACTTGGGGCACATTCTCAAAATGCGTGCCTTGGTGTCCCTACTGTCTCGTGCAGTACTTGAAACGCGCTACTGGGGCGGGTACCGTACAATAGAACCAAAGACGACTCCTTGTTTTTAAACAGAAGCGTGGATGTCGCCTTGTCACCTGATGCAAAACGCTTTTGCTGCGAGTTTATGTCTCCACTATCCCTCTGCTTCCTCTGTGAGTGCAGTCTGGAAAAAAGACAAAACGAGTGGAAAATTTCCCACCCTCCTGTTCTGCGGTTCCCGTGTTGAATAGCAAACCCACTAATGTTGCCAAAGAAATTGGCAATCATCTGGTCCTATTTTTCAGGGGCTCCATCTATGCCCCTCATTTCTTTCCTCAAATCTGCCAGAGAGTTAGCACCCCTTTGGGCTTTTTCCTCAGAGAAGAACAGTATAATGTGCCTTTTACACTTCAAGAACTGGGGCAACCCCACTTGTCGATCATCGCGCGGGCCCGACGACATCATATCGTATGCACAACATTTACATCAGTCGCCCGCAGTCCTATTACGCCTTTACAATCTTATTTGGGCACAAGGATTCTTCCACAGCTGTGGAAAAACCGCCATTTTTCTTCCCCCTTTCTGCAAACCAGGGACTACGGGAATGAAACCCCCCACTATTTCCCCTTGCTCTTACCATGCAGTTTGAAAGTAATGGAACGCCTAGTAAAAAAACTTTTGTGTGGTATTTAAGAGACACAACAGTCTCTCCACTCTCAAATGGCTTTTTGTAAGGGACGTTCACCATAGACCCCCCTTACTACCTTGGTAAAGTATGTTTGAATGCCTTTCGAATAACCACCGTATTCCCTATTTTTTTTACCTTAAAGGCATATGACACAACTGGAGGGATAATATTTTAGCCCCAACCCACTCCTTAGGCCTTTTGGGCAATCTACCATCCTTCCTTAAAAACTTTTTAACTGACAGGCATTTCCGTGTTCGGGTTAAAATTTTGCTCTCCCCCCCGACTTTATCCCAAACGAAGTGTCCCCCCCGGATGTTTTCTGACACAACACTTTTTTTCCTTGCATTTAAAGATTTGGGCCCCTAGTCTTCCACAAATATTGGTCACACTCTATGTTGAGACTTCACATCCTGTGCAGGGGTGACTGTCACCTCATTACATTTCTCTCCAACATGCATCGACCTGTTTCCAAAGGCCACCACACTGGGTTTTAAAATTTTTCCCGCACTAAAACCCACCAAAACTTTTACTAGATCTCTGTCATCCCGATCATCCTTTTTTCACCTCTATGGGTCCCGTATCCCTAACGGATACCCGTCAATTTCGGGGCCCCCTTTGATCGAGGTTATCCTGGAAACCTCACATTACCCTCTGAAGCAACTTCACAGCCGGCTGAACCTTCTTAAAACCCTTTCTCATCTTTTTATGGGACTGATCGTCGAACCCTCCTTCGCCACATTCCAAACCCTTATTTAATCGAAACTTGATTATGGTGACCCGATCTATTCAGCGCATCTCCTCACTCCTCACCTTAACCCCATTCCACCAAGGATTTCTTTTTTGCCCTTTGGGGCTTTTTTGCTCTTTCCCTGTCAAGAGCCTCTATGCAGAAGCGAACGTTCCACCTTTTCCGATTTGCCGTGATGCCCATTGCCTGCGCACTAGTACGTCCATATCTCCCAATCCTTCCATTTATAGAATGCACGAAATTTGAGACATTCTTTATTTGTTCGCCGCCCCCGTTTACTCCGCCCCTTTTCTCTTCGCCTTCATTCGCTCTTGTCTTCTCTTCAACTACCACCTTTCTATGTACATGTAGCATCTCACTTTTCCCTACCCCCCTGGGAAGTTCCAGCTGTTCGAGTCTGTTCTTTCTCCCTCCCTTGCTCGAAAGCCCAACTGTCTACGGTCGCTTCCCGCTCTCTTTTTCTTGACCACTTTCACTCTCATTCTCATGCCATTGCTGTGTACACAGATGGCTCTAAGTCTTCTGACGGCGTAGGATTCGCAGCAGTGTTTCCGGACAGCGTCGTACAAGGCATTTACTATCTTCGGCTAGTATTTTTACTGCTGAATTATATGCCATCCTTACAGCACTTATCCGTATTGCATCTATGCCTGTGTCATCATTTGTGGTTGTCTCAGACTCCCTTAGTGCTTTACAGGCTATACAAAAATTTGGTACACCTCACCCCTTAGTCCTCCGTATCCAACTTTGGCTACGCCGCATCTTTACCAAGCATAAAGATATTGTTTTTTGTTGGGTCCCTGGTCATGTTGACGTACAGGGCAATGAACAGGCAGACACTGCTGAGCGGTCAGCAGTACATGACCTACCAGTTTCTTATAGAGGTATTCCATTTATGGACTATTTTACTGCAATATCTTCCCACCTTCACACCCGTTGGCAACAACATTGGTCTACTATGCTCGGCAACAAACTTCAATCTATTAAACCGAGTATAGGTTACTGGCCGTCTTCTTATCACCAGCGTCGAGGTTGGGAGACTACTCTCTCCCGTCTTCGCATTGGCCATACTCGTCTTTCTCATGGATATCTCATGGAGAGGTGTCTTGCTCCTCTCTGTGAGAATTGCCAAGCTCCATTATCAGTCAGCCACATTCTGTTGGACTGCCCACTTTATGAACGAGCATGCAGAATTTACCTCTGTCGTCGTCTTCGCTCCGCTGCTCTCTCTTTACCTTCCCTTCTCGCTGATGGACCCACCTTTCATCCGGACTCTCTCATTGACTTTTTGACAACAACTGACTTACTTCACAAATTCTGATACCTTCAGCCCTTTCTACTTCAATCTCTTGCTACCCTCTACCCCCGTACTATCCCCTGCCCCGCTGTTTTCTGTAACCTACTGATCATCCCCCCTCCCTTCTGCCATCCAATTCCCTTGCTTCCTTCCCTACCCTGCAGCGCTGTATAGCCCTTGTGGCTTAGCGCTTCTTTTTGATTATAATAATAATAATAATTAATAATTTGTACCAAAATGTTTGTTTTATTCAGTATATGTATCCTCTTAATTCTAGAACACAGCACTGCTGACTCACTTTTCTAATTCACAGTTATATTGAGGAACAACAACAACCCTCCTTGTTTGCTGACACTTAAGATCTCCAGTGTTTCCTGAAGCATCTGTGGAAGTTTATTAACACCATCTGATACTCTTTTTACCCTTGCTATTTACAGTACCACATAAACAACTTTGAATGTGTTGTAATGAACTGTAAAAAAAAGTGTATTTATTGCTCAGATATTTAAGGAAAATCTTTAAAAACATGAGTGATCTCAAAGAGAAATATATAAACTTAGCCTCTTTATATGTTAAAAATGTTTTTAATACACACAAAAAGTGTTCATTTAGAAAGTAAACCATATCTGTGTTAATGAGAGCTCTTGCAGGTAACTATATGAGTATTCATTATTATTATTATTATCATTATTATTGTTATTGCATTCTTGGGGAGTGCTAACCATATAAGGGGACAGAACACTTTCTTAATCAGCTTTGATCTTCTACCATTTATAGGCTTTATTAAAACACCACATGTAACTCTGACCTGGAGGAAGGGAAGGCAGTCAGGTTCAGTCCAAGGAAGAGAAGGTCAGGTCTAATACTATGGATCATGTGCCCCTCATTGACCTCCAGGAACCTCTCTTGAAAGAATATCAGTGTTCAGAATGTCTGAAATGTTTTACAAATAAAAGTGATCTTGAAAGACACATGAGAGTGCATACAGGAGTTAAGCCTTATCAGTGTTTAGAGTGTCTGAAATGTTTTAGCCAAAAAAGTAATCTTGTAGAACACAAGAAAATTCATACAGGAGAAAAGCCTTATCAGTGTTTAGATTGTCTGAAATGTTTCAGTAAAGAAAGTTATCTTGTAAAGCACAAGAAAATTCATACAGGAGAAAAGCCTTTTCAGTGTTCAGAGTGTCTGAAATGTTTTAGTCAAAAAAGTTATCTTGTTATTCATGAGAACATTCATACAGGAGAGAAACCTTATCAGTGTTTGGAGTGTCTAAAACACTTTAGCCAAAAAAGTAATCTTGTAGAACATGAGAAAATCCATAAAGGAGAGAAGCCTTATCAATGTTCAGAATGTTTAAAATGTTTCAGCAATAAAAGTTATCTTGTAAAGCATGAGAAAATTCATATAGGCAATAAACCTTATCAGTGTTCAGAATGTGTAAAATGTTTTGTCTCTAAAAGTTGTCTTGAAGGACACTTGAGAATTCATACAGGAGATAAACCATTTCAGTGTTCAGAGTGTCTGAAAGGTTTTAGCAAGAAAAGTGGTCTTATAAGACATGTGAAAATTCATACAGGAGAGAAACCTTATCAATGTTCAGAGTGTACAAAATGTTTTATCACTAAAAGTTATCTTGAAGGACATACAAGAATTCATACAGGACAGAAACCCTATAAGTGTTCAGAGTGTCTGAAATGTTTCTGCACTAAGAGTGAACTTGTTAAGCATAAGAAAATTCATACAGGAGAGAAACCCTATAAGTGTTCAGAGTGTCTGAAGAATTTTGGCAATAAAAGTGATCTTGTTAAGCACAAGAAAATTCATACAGGAGAGAAGCCTTATAAGTGTTCTGAATGTTTGAAATGTTTCAGTAATAAAAGTGATCTTATAAAACATGAGAAAATTCATACAGGAGAGAAGCCTTATCAGTGTTCAGAATGTTTGAAATGTTTCGGTAGTAAAATAAATCTTGAAGGACACATAAGAATTCATACAGGAGAAAAACCGTATCAGTGTTCTGAGTGTTTGAAAAGTTTTCGTAGTAAAAGTAATCTTTTAAGACATAAGAAAATTCATACTGGAAAAAAGCCTTATCAGTGTTCAGAGTGTCTGAAATGTTTCAGCCAAAGAAGTAAACTTGTAGATCACGAGAAAATTCATACTGGAGAGAAACCTTATCAGTGTTCAGAATGTTTGAAATGTTTTAGCACTAAAAGTCATCTTGTAATACACATGAGAGTTCATACAGGAGAGAAGCCTTATCAGTGTTTAGAATGTCTGAAATGTTTTAGCAGAAAAAGCAATCTTGTACATCATAAACAAGTTCATACAGGAAAATGAACCATGTAAGTGTAAGGGAGTTCATGCAATGAAGAGTCCACATCATATTCACTGTGTTTAAGATGTTATAGTAGAAAAAAATGGTCTTGGAGCACATTAACCCTTTCACTGTTGGTGGCGTATAGGTACGGCTTATGAGCCAGTGTTGGCGACATTAATATACCAAAATTCTAGCGGCTTCAAATCTAGCAGAAGAAGGCTGGTAGACCTACATGTGAGAGAATGGGTCTGTGTGGTCAGTGTGAGCAGTATAAAAAAAAATCAGGGAGGGTGCAGTGCATTGTGGGAGTGCTAATTCAGTATGCCTTGGTCACCAAGCCTAGCAGTAAGGAATACCTTACTTCCCAGTGAATTGGGACTCTTCCCTTCCCAAGTGAGAGTTCTAACACAGATTGAAGTGTCAATGAAGATGAATCTCATGGTTTTGAGGAGTTTGTGACTGAAAACAATGCCCAGGATACCAGAAATAGCTGAAAACCCAGATGATCATCAGCCTTCCACCTCTGGTGCTGGGCCATCCATTCATGTTCACTTGTACCACAGCAAAAGAGGAAACTCATAATTTCCCATGTCTCAAAGAATAAGTAAGTAAGTAAGTTTATTCAGGTATACACAGATACATTTACATAGAATATCATACATAGCAGCATATGTGTAGATTACCTAGGATAACCCAAAAAAGTCAGACAAAGTGACTTATTTTCATATGGGTGATAGGGAAGACAGCATGGTTGGTGTGGAAGGCAGTGTGGGTTGTGGAGAAGGCAGCATGGATTTGTGTAAGCAAGTTTTATAAACAATATAATGATGATAATGTTTTTGCAGTTATTGTGTTGCATACAATGAGTGGATATACAGTGGACCCCTGAGTTTCGTGATTAATCCGTTCCAGAGAGCCCGCCGAAGGTCGAAATTCACGAAACTTGAAACCATTTTCCCCATAAGAAATAATGGAAATAAAATGAATCCATTCCAGACACCCAAAAATATTAAAATAATTTTTTTTTTTCAAATAAAGATTTACATAATGAAAACAATCAGAAATCAAATACAGGTCCGCCATCACAAATCCGGCAATCAGTTATTCGGTTCCTTCAGTTATTCGGCATTAATATTGGCTAGCATAATTTCAAATTTCCAGGGTCACCACACCAACCTGCTGGTACTGTTTGGTGGTGCTACTTGCTGCATAAGTCATTCCAATTTCTTTTTCTCTATTTATTGTTTTAACCTGCTTACTTTTAGCTCTAGCCATGATTCCAGTGAATAAAAGAAATGCTTCTCATCATGTAAAGCACCTACACAGTACATTATCCATTAAAGATAAGGTGGCTTTGAAGCCACTGTCGGTTGCCATGAACTCAGTCTCATGAAGCAGGAGAATATGCTTTATTATTACGCTAATATCAACACTACAGCTTATTTGCCTATCACAATTGATCTAATATGACATAATAAACAATATAAATAACATAAAACATGTTAAATACTCCAGAATGAATAATATTTGGCATAATACCGAGCACTTCGATGGAGGTATGAAGTGAATATGGTATAAAAATACCATTCTCCTATCCCTGTCTTGGGGCTTATATTAGAGAAAATGGAGTGTACCACAGGGCTAACTGTGATATACACTCGTACTGCACCATAAACCTGAAACAAAAAAGTTATTTTCTCTCTATAGATTATCACACATAGCAGCATATGTGTAGAGAACCTAGGATAACCCCCAAAAAAGTCAACGTGGCTTATTTTTAGCACCTGGCTTGGGTTAGCCATATATGATTTTTCGTAAATATTCAATTCCCAGCCAGGGTAGAAACATTAGGCGTGTTTCTTTACACCTGTTGTCTATGTTTACCCATCAGTAAATGGGTACCTGGGTATTAGCCAACTAGTGTGGGTGTTATCCTGGGACACTGACCTAATTTTCTAGAAATGCTCTGCATAACAAGCAGCTTTCTATATAGTAGTATGTCACTGATGTCAGCTAGGCCTGTATACCTTGTACATGTATGTGTAGTAAATAAAGATATTATTATTACGTATATTATTATTATTTTCTCAGTTGTTTGTTGGGTTATCTTATTCAAACTTGGGCAATGTATGATGGAAAGATACTTCTTCACGTACACCAAAAATGAAAGAAATCAGACCATAAATAGCGGAGTTCACTTCTCAGCCATTAGCGGCCACTTAGCGGTATATTTTTGTATGGTTGTTATGGTTATATTCTCATTTTTTCGGTCTCATTTGATAGAATGAAAGATATATTACAGAAATAGATATGATTTTGATTGCTTTCATGACGAAAAGTACCTTGAAATTGCGCTCACAGTAGCGAAAATGTTCTATTCTTTAGCGATGTTCAAGAGTAAACAAATGACGTCACCGTCCAATACCTGTCCACCTGCCAGTCTAAATTTCAGTACGGAGTCAAGAATGGCTTGACATTATTTATACAATTATTACAATAATGCAGTAGTCTGCATAACAGTAAATCTTCTATTTTTTGTGAATAAAAATTCCAAATGAAAAGCAAGAGTAATATAAGAGGGACCTGTAGCCATGAATAATGAACAGAGAAAATGTTATTTTAGTGCCAAGAATGTCTGCATTGTTTATTCTGGACCCTATTTTGAAATTGGCATCTGTTGAAATTTTTGTAAAATCGGCCAAATTGCCAATTTCCGACCACTTTATTGGGTAGTTGAAATAAGTGAATAGGCAGTTTCTTGTACTCAGTTGACAGACTAGAAGTAAATAAGTTTATTCAGGTATACACAAATACAGTTACTGTACATAGATTATCATACATAGCAGTGTATGTATAGAGAACCTAGGATAACCCAGAAAAGTCAGACAATAAGACTTATTTCCAGTACCTGGCTTGGGCTTGCCATATATGATATTTGGTAAATATTTTTTTTCTCGGTTGTTTGTTGGGCTATCTCATTGAAACTTGGGCAATGTATGATGGAAAGATGCTTCTTAACGTACAACAAAAATAAAAAAGACGGACGATAAATGAGGGAGTTAACTTCTCAGCCATTAGCCACCTCTTTGCAGTATATTTTCGTATGGTTTTCATGGTTGTATTCTCATTTTTTTGGACTCATTTGATAGATTGGAAATAGACATGATTTTGATTGCTTTCATGACGAAAAGTACCTTGAAACTGAGCTCAAAGTAGCGGAAATGTTTGATTTTTGCCGATGTTCAATGAACTGTGTATGTCAAGTTGGCTAATTTTATTAAGTGTATTCTAACCTAACCACTCTGTAATTCAGTAAACTCAGTAATCCGGCACACTACAGGTCCCAATGATGCCGGATTTGTGATGGAGGACCTGTACATGCATTTAAAAAAATAATAACATTACACTTACCTTTACTGAAGACTTCTGGGTGGATGGAAGACGGGAGGAGGGGATAGGAGGAAGGTGTACACTATTGTTTGGAAGGAGAATCTCCTTCCATTAGGACTTTAGGTAGCAAGTCTTTTTCTGGGGTTACTTCCCTTCTTCTTTTTATGCCACTGGGAACAACTTGAGAGTCACTGGACCCCTGTCGCTTGGTGGCCCGGTGGCCTGGTGGCTAAAGCTCCCGCTTCACACACGGTGGGCCCGGGTTCGATTCCCGGCGGGTGGAAACATTCGACACGTTTCCTTACACCTGTTGTCCTGTTCACCTAGCAGCAAATAGGTACCTGGGTGTTAGTCGACTGGTGTGGGTCGCATCCTGGGGGACAAGATTAAGGACCCCAATGGAAATAAGTTAGACAGTCCTCGATGACGCACTGACTTTCTTGGGTTATCCTGGGTGGCTAACCCTCCGGGGTTAAAAATCCGAACGAAATCTTATCTTATCTTATCTGTCGCACAAAATATCTGTCCAGAGAGGTCTTTTTCTGGCGTTTCTTTAAGATTTCCCTGAAGTGGGACACAACACTGTCATTGTACATGTTGCAGATATGGCTTGTTTCAGCTTGGTCAGGGTGATACTTTTCAACAAAACTTTGCAACTCATTGCACATTCCACACATGTCCTTAATCACTGAAGAAGGCACCTCATCCACTCCCTCTTCCTCCTCCTCTGAAGCAAGTTCTTCGGCTGTGGTCTGATGCTGTTCGTCAGTGGTTAGCTCTTCCCTGTGGTCCTCCACCAACTTTTCAACATCCCTGTCACTCTATTTACCAAAGGGCTTGCACTAGCTTTCCTTGGGTCCATGATGACTTATTTAGCAGTTGCAAGCACAAAAAAACAATGGATTATTATGAAATGTATTGTATGAACCATGCGGGGTGATGGTCATGTGTTGGTAAACAATGGCACACTGAGCGTGAATGGCATGGGAGACTGGCTTGGTGTGCGCAGTGACGGGCACCGGACGGTTGCCAAAACACGAGTCTTTTCACGAAACTCAAGGCCAAATTTTTCCAAAAAAAACTCACCGAAGGTCGAATTTCATGAAAGTCGAGGCTGCCGAAACTCGGGGGTCCACTGTATATACAGTGGACCCCCGCATAGCGACTTTAATCCGTGCAAGAGGGCTGATTGTTATGCGAAATGTTCGGTATGCGAATGAATTTTCCCCATAAGAAATATTGGAAATCAAATTAATCCGTGCAAGACACCCAAAAGTATGAAAAAAAAATTTTTTACCACATGAAATATACATTTTCCTACACACAAAGAGAAGGATACATGCACAATAGTAGAGTAGTACATGCACAATATATATTGTGCATGTACTACTCTACTAAATGAAGAATAAATGACACTTACCTTTATTGAAGATGCAGCAATGACTGATGAGACACTGTGTCCTGGGAGTGCCTTTTCTTCCTGAGTACTGTAGGTCCTGTTTGGCATTTTCTTCCAGAACAGGCCTTATCACACTGTGTATGCCACTACGATTCTTAAATCTCTCAAACCAACCTTTGCTGGCTTTAAATTCACCAATATGAGCACTAGTTCCAGGCATTTTTCCCTGTTCACCTGGGTGTTAGTCGACTGGTGTGGGTTGCATCCTGGGAGACAAGATTAAGGACCCCAATGGAAATAAGTTAGACAGTCTTCAATGACACTGACTTTTTGGGTTATCCTGGGTGGCAAATCCTCTGGGGTTAATTGTTTCTTGGTATTCTCAATAAGCCACACCAACAACGGTGCTACAGCAGCAGCAGCAGCTGACGGTGGTACAACAGCAGCAGACGATGCTACAGCAGCAACAGACGATGCTACAGCAGCAACAGACGATGCTACAGCAGCAGCAGACGATGCTACAGCAGCAACAGACGATGCTACAGCAGCAACAGACGATGCTACAGCAGCAGCAGACGATGCTACAGCAGCAGCAGACGATGCTACAGCAGCAGCAGACGGTACTACAGCAGCAGCAGCAGCTGACGGTGGTACAACAGCAGCAGCAGCTGACAGTGCAGCAGCAGCTGACAGTGCAGCAGCAGCTGACGGTGGTACAGCAGCAGCAGCAGCTGTGCCACCAATAGTAGCGATGGTTGATTGGGGTTTATTATACAACCTGGCCAGCTCGGAGACACGCACTCCACTTTCATACTTATCAATGATCTTTTTCTTCATCTCTATAGTAATTCTCACCCTTATTGCTGTAGGGTTGGCACTAGAAGCTTTCTTGGGGCCCATGGTCACTTATTTTCCAGAAAAAATCACCAAAAACACTGTAATAATACGAAATGTTCGGATTGTATGCTTGGATGTTACCGCGGAGGCTGGCTGGTAAACAATGCCACCGGCGGAACATGTGAGCGTGGCTCAGGCTGCACATTGGACGCGTCTAGGACGAAGAGCAGTGAGCGGGTTTTTGGGCGGTATGTGAGGCAAAATTTTTGCGAAAAAAGCGAGCGGTATGTGGATTGTACGGTATGCGATGCGTGCGGTATGCGGGGGTCCACTGTACATCATGCATAATATTGGTCTCACAGGCCACAAAAGTTACATGAAAATATTAAATATTAGAAAAGAAAAGAAAAAATTGAATGAAAGTGAAAATAATATTATTGAGTGAGCAGTCACCGATGTTGCCATAAGCGGTTTACTTTCTGTCAACTTCACACCTCTATATTTCGTTAAGTATTGATAGCAATTTTTTTTCTTTTAAAACAATCAGATGAACATCCTTAAGATTTTGGTATGAAAAAATTATTTTTTTTTTTTAATATTTTTCAACACTGATCTACAGCACTGAGAGCGAGTTTGGGATCAGGGGTCTCGACAGTAAAAGAGTTAAGAAGCTCATACAGGATTTAAACCCTACTAATGTTCAGAATGTTTGATATCTTTTAGCCAAATGAGGATTCCTGTAGATCTTAAAAATATTTATATAGGAGTGAAATTTTATTAGGGTTCAGAGTGTCTGAAATGTTTTATCAAATAAAAGTACTCATGCATGCATGAAAAATTCATTCCAGAAGTTAACTGTATCATTGTTAAAAATACCTAAAATATTTCAACTATAAGTTTAAGGTTACCTGGAGTATGCCTGGAGTATATCTGGGTTTGAGGGGTCAACGCCCCCGTGGTCCAGTCCACGACGAGGTCTTGTGGTGAATCAGGGTCTGATCAACCAAGCTGTTACTGCTGGCCGAATGTTAACTGATGTATAAACTACTGCCCGGCTGATCAGGTACTGACTTTAGGTGCCTGTACAGCTCTTTGAAGACAGCCAGGGGTCTATTGGTAATTCCCCTTAGGTATGCTGGGAGGTAGTTGAACAGTCTTGGGCCCCTGACAATTACTGTGATGTCTCTTAGCATACTCGTGGCACCTTTGATTTTCATTGGGGGAATGTTACATCTGCCAAGTATTTTCCTTTCATAGGGAGTGATTTTCGTGTGCAGATTTGAGACTAGTCCCTTAGGACAGGGCTACTCAATTGGTGGCCTGCAGTCTGAATCTGGACCTTCTGAGTGTTCTAGTTGGACTGCAGGTTTCAGGAGAAAACTTAGTTAAATAACAGCTGTTGCTAGTGGCGGCTCGTCCATAGGAGCTACAGAGCTGCAGTTCCCTCAGATGCTCTCTGCCAGACATATGACTTCATCAACCTTACACTAAAATAATTTGCAACTGACAAATATATTACAGGAAAAATCTGTTGCGTGTTGTTTTCAATGTATTTTTTGTTGAAATGAGATAAAAAATGCTAAAAAATAGAAGTTTGATGCGGTACAATAGTATAGGTATTACTGGCGTTACATCTGGCAGAGAGGAGCTGCATTTGATGCAGCACACACCCAGTTGCAATCAGTCTATTTACGTTTTGAGCATGCACATTAAAACGTGTGGCCGGTATTGGTGTTGGTGGCTGTTTAAATTTTTTCCAATAGCATTAAATTTAATTACCATTTGATAAACGATGACAGTGGAAAATTGACACTCCGATTTTATTTTCAAATAGTTGTAACATCACCTCAGCTAGCCACGTCTCCACCAGCAAGACTGTGACGACCTCTACAGGTACGTATATGTGTGAATGCTTAACATTATTAAATTTAGTTTTTTTTTTTAATTATTACGTTAATAATGTTTATTATGCTGTTCTATTATGAGGCTTGCAGTCATGCAGTCCCCCATTCTATTTTTCAATGATCTGCCACTGGTTGTTAGCACGTTCAGGATAAGGTGGTTCACAAGAGCGGGATCAATACATTATTTTATCTGAATGGAATACAGTATTCAAGCATAGCTGAATAGCTAAATAATGATATTTTCTTCCATTCAGTGGTAATTGATATTGGTAATTATCACTCGTGCAATGAAGTTGACTCTTTGGGCATTTTGGAAAAAGAGTTTGAAAACTCCATTTAAACTAATTTGAGTAATATAAAATCCAAAACTTGTTTGATATACAGTGGACCCTTGACCAACGATGGCATCGTATAACGTTAAATCCGACTAGCAATACATTTTAACGCAAAAAATTTTGCCTCGACTAGCGTTAAAAAACTTGATCAACGCGATTCGTTCCGTTCGAGACGTGTCCACATGTGGCCTGAGTGAGCCTCACTTGTCCCATGGGTGCCAGTGTTTACAAGCCAGCCAGCCACTGCGGTTGCATCAAAACATACAATCGGAACATTTCATATTATCACAGCATTTTTAGCGATTGCACCTGCAAAATAAGTCACCATGGGCCCCAAGAAAGCTTCTAGCGCCAACCTACAGCAAAAAGGGTGAGAATTACTATGGATATGAAGAAAGAGATCATTGCTAAGTATGAAAGTGGAGTGCATGTCTCCGAGCTGGCCAAGTTGTACACAAAACCCCAATCAACCATCGCTACTATTGTGGGCAAGAAAACGGCAATCAAGGAAGCTGTTCTTGCCAAAGGTGCAACTATGTTTTTGAAACTGAGATTGCAAGTGATAGAAGATGTTGAGAGACTGTTATTGGTGTGCATAAACGAAAAACAGATATCAGGAGATAGCATCTCTTAAGCGATCATATGTGAAAAGGCTAGGAAGTTGCATGACGATTTAATTAGAAAAATGCCTGCAACTAGTGGTGATATGAGTGAATTTAAGGCCAGCAAAGGTTGGTTTGAGAGATTTAAGAATCGTAGTGGCATACATAGTGTGATAAGGCATGGTGAGGCTGCCAGTTCACACCAAAAAGCAGCTGAAAAATATGTGCAGGAATTCAAGGAGTACATAGTGAAGAATTGAAACCTGAACAAGTGTTTAATTGTGATGAAACAGGCCTGTTTTGGAAGAAAATGCCAAGCAGGACCTACAGTACTCAGGAAAAGGCACTCCCAGGACATAAGCCTATGAAAGACAGGCTTACTCTGTTGATGTGTGCTAATGCTAGTGGTGATTGCAAAGTGAAGCCTTTATTGGTGTATCACTCAGAAACTCCCAGAGTGTTCAGGAAAAATAATGTCCTCAAGGCTAATTTGTGTGTGCTGTGGAGGGCAAACAGTAAGGCATTGGTCACTAGGGACTTTTTCTATGACTGGTTACACCATGCATTTGCCCCCACTGTGAAAAATTACCTCCTGGAAAATAAATTGGACCTTATGTGCCTCCTGGTATTAGACAATGCTGCTGGTCATCCTTCACACTTGGCAGAGCGACTTTCTGGGGACAAGAGCTTCATCAAGGTCAAGTTTTTGCCTCCTAATACCACTCCTCTCCTGCAGCCCATGGACCAGCAGGTCATTGCAAACTTCAAAAAACTCTACACAAAAGCTATGTTTGAAAGGTGCTTTGTAGTGACCTCAGAAACTCAGTTGACTCTAAGAAAGTTTTGGAGAGATCACTTTAGCATCCTCAATTGTGTAAACATTATAGGTAAGGCTTGGGAGGAAGTGAATAAGAGGACCTTGAACTCTGCTTGGAAGAAACTGTGGCCGGAATGTGTAGACAAAAGGGATTTTGAAGGATTTGAGGCTAATCCTGAGAAGCCTATGCCAGTTGAGGAATCAATTGTGGCATTGGGGAAGTCCTTGGGGTTGGAGGTTAGTGGGGAGGATGTGGAAGAGTTGGTGGAGAAGGACAATGAAGAACTAACCACTGATGAACTGCAAGATCATCTTCAACAGCAAGAGGCCAGACCTGAGGAAACTGCTCCGGAGGAGGGGAGAGAGAAATTGAAGAAGTTATCTGCTTCAAAGATTAAGGAAATGTGTGCAATGTGGCTTAAAGTGCAATCCTTTTTTGATGA